AAAAAAAAAAGTCTCAATCCCATCAGCCATTTTTCTCTTAGTTTACTATAAATTGGTGCTACCGTTTTGACGTATATCCTCACTTCTTACCTTACCGTTTTAACAGGTGATGATTTCTGGTTCCAAGATCCCAATGGTGATCCAATGGGAGTTTATTGGTTACAAGGTGTTCATATGATTCATTGTGCCTATAACAGCATGTGGATGGGACAGTTCATACAACCAGATTGGGATATGTTTCAATCTGATCATTGTTGTGCAAAATTCCATGCTGGGTCCAGAGCTATCTGTGGAGGACCTGTTTATGTGAGTGACTCATTGGGTGGCCATGATTTTGATCTCTTAAAGAAGCTGGTATTCCCTGATGGTACCATCCCCAAATGCCAATATATGGCTCTCCCGACAAGAGACTGCCTCTTCAAGAACCCCCTCTTTGACAGCAAAACCATTCTCAAAATTTGGAACGTCAACAAGGTACTATATCCTATTCCAGTAGATCAAGATAACATTACCGACAAAAGGTTTTTATATTCGTTTAAACACTCTAAATATGGAATAGGTATAGAGGAAGATTTCATAGATTTTCGATAAGAGTTGACTTATTTGTCAATTTTTCTACTGGAAAAAGTTTATCTAAACACTAATCTTTCGTCTATTAGCAGCAGATTATATACATAGGCGCCTACATGACATATTGCCAATAGAAATCAAGACACTTGATAGCACTACTAAGTCATTCATTTGAACAAGACAAATATCTCTTACAACTAAAATCCCTCTTTTTCCCGGTCCAGTTCGTCAACCCCAGTTAGATTCAGGCATGCTACACGTATTAGTACAAAATACCTAAAAATCCCACACCGAGTGTGGGAAAGAATTATGCTTTTAGTACTTGTAGTTTCAAATTCCTTAATTGATTTGTTTGATTTTCAATCAAAATTTCACAGTATGGAGGTGTGGTTGGTGCATTTAACTGCCAAGGTGCTGGATGGGACCCTAAGGAGCAAAGGATCAAAGGCTACTCCCACTGCTACAAGCCAATATCAGGTTCTGTTCATGTGAGTGACATTGAATGGAATCAAAAGAAGGAAGCAACTGAATTGGGAGAAGCTGAAGAATATGCTGTCTATCTAACTGAGGATGAGAAAATATTCACAACAACTACAAATTCCGATGACATTCCGATCGTCATCCAGTCGTCTACTTTCGAGATCTTCACCTTCGTCCCAATCGAGAAACTCGGCCGGGCCGCAAAATTCGCACCTATCGGACTAACCAACATGTTCAACTGTGGAGGGTGCATTCAAGAACTAGCTTACAATGGGACTAATGCAGACATTGAAGTTAAGGGTGGAGGAAATTTCTTGGCCTATTCCAATGTTTCACCTAAGAAATGTTACCTAAATGGCTCAGAAGTTGGATTTGAATGGTCTGAAAATGGAAAATTGGGATTGTTCCTTCCATGGAATGAAGAAACTGAGGGCATTTCTCGTATTACTTTTGTTTTCTGATAAAAATCCTGTGGCCTTATGCCCTTTACAGTAAGAGGGTAGTAACTCTAAGAAAGTCACAATGAGTGGCTGCTAAAAATGTTTTTAAGTGTTCTGTTTTCAGTTATTCAAGTTTCAATGTTAAATTCAAGAAGTGATATGATTAATTATAATAACCCACAAGGCCAAAGTGCAGTTGGGAAGGATTTTTCAGTTGGAATTGTCTCTTTATATAGGAAATTTGTCTTTTCTATGATATTATTTGGTCAAAACAATGTTTTAAATAGTGATTTTTAGAAGAACGTGTCATTAAAAAATATGAATTTTTTTTAATTTACGTGTAAAATATTTTATTGTATAAATGTGATTAAACATGAGTACCGTCAAAAAAGAATTTTCAAATAATATTTGTCAAACACAAACTAAATTTGGTTCTCCTCCAATTTACTTTCAAATTAGGTTTTCTAATTTTATCTATTTCCCCGCCCAGAAAAGTGAACATTGAATACGTATATATATTCCTATCTTTGTAGTCAACTTGATAAAACACGGGGATATGTTTAAGGGGAAAATTTCATAAGTAAGAAGATAATTGTTGTCCATTTCAAAACTAAGAAAATATGTTTTAAATTTCAAAAATCAAATTTTTATTAAAATTTATTTATAATTTAATTAATTAAATATATTAAAGTCACATATTTATATAATAAGGTCACAGATTCACAATTTAATTAATCACATATTATTTTTCCATCACAAATCATAATTTTTATAAGTCACAATTATTTTAAGGTCACAATTCAAAAATTTTATCGATAACAGTTTGTCTATCAATTACAGATCAAAAATTTTGTAGGTCACAGATTATTTCGAGATCACAAATCAATAATTTTATAGGTCATAAATTATTTTATGGGTCACATATCAAAAAATTACAGGTCACAATTATCTATCAATCACTTTTTTTTAAATTTATTGGTCACAAATTAATTCTTAATTACAAATTGTTGAATTTTAAGGTCACAGTTAGTTCAAATAACTAGTCACATACACCAAACGTCCCACCACCGATTCCGATCCACCACCAATCTTGGTCATGAATCATCACCAAACAACCGCCGCCGCCGCCGCCGCCGCCGCAAACAAATCAACAGAAAAACACCAGCGCACGGTCAGTACCAGATCCATCACCACACGTCCACATGAACAGACCCATCACCACCAACATCTCACCATCACCCACCGCCACGACCACCACCGTTGACCGTCACAGCCACGGCCGACCACCGCACAGTTCGAATCAAAAACCAAAAAACTCCCAAAATTCAACCACAAGATTGGCACCCATGACATTCCCACACACAAACCACTCTCCACAAGAACCACCACCGTCGACTACCGCACCACCGCATAGTAGATCGCATAAAAAATTAAAAAAAAATTATAGATTCTGAAAGATCAGCATTGCAGATTCGACCACCAACATCTCACCGACACCCACTGCTACAAGCACCACCGCCGACCGTCACTGCCACCGCCGACCGTCACCCACTGCCATAAGTACCACCGCACAGTATGAATCAAAAAACCAAAAAACTCCTAAAATTCAACCCTCAGATTGGCACCCATGGCATTCTCACACACAAATCACTCGCCACAAGAACCACCACGGGACCACCGCACAGTAAATCGCATAAAAAAAAGATTCTCGCAAATCGACTTTGTAGATTCGACCACTGCACAGATCGATGTTGCAAGCGATGCTTCAGTGAGCGCTATCTTCGATCACAACAACGAGCTCCGCTGTGGTCTTCGTGATTGTCGACGGCGATAGATTGAGAGAGAGATGGAAACAGTTGGTTAGAGAGAGGAAATGGGATGGGTTGGGAGAGAGATAGAGATGGGGACGGCAGGTTAGAGAGAGGAAATGGGAAGTTAATTCTGTTTGGTGAAATTTGTATTATAATATTAAATATTAAATATCTGATTTTTCAACAATGAAACCTTCCATCTGATTTTAGAACTAGGATCTTTAATAGTATGGTTTGGTGTAATTTCCTCTTAAGTAAATCGGCCGCACTAAAATATGTTACAGAAGCAGTTTCTTAAGTAGGGATAGACATGGCCCGAAACCAAACTAGTCAATTTGTTTTGAAAAATGATCAAACCCATATCAAACCATTTGAGCCCATAAACCGTACCGATTCAAACCTATTATCATTGGGATCAAATCGGGCTATTTGGTTTGGTTCTAGACCCAATCCAAACCTCCTAGCGTGGAAGTAAAATTAACTAAAACCATACTTTTTAAATTGAGGAAATTACAGCCAGTCCTATATTTTAAGATCCGATTTCAAAAATCATGTGCAAAGTTTGTTTATTCAAAAATCATGTTATAATTAAAAAAATTAATATTAATAATTATATTATAAATTCAAATTAATCATTTTCATTTTCTTTAACCTCTCTCTCTACCCTACCCACCCTATAATCCCTTCTTCCCGAACCCTAAAAACCATTTCCACTCTCTTCCCCCTCTCTCTATCTTCTCGTTTTTCACTCTTTCTACCAACCCCCGCTACTCATGGCGTCGCCCCCCCTCTCCAATCCGGTGACGCCGCTCTCCTCCCTAACTGCTAGAAACATAGCCTTACACGATGTCCCTCTCCTCCCTCGAAGAGGCACTGCAGCGCAGATATCCCTCATTCATCGATGATGCGAGGGCCACCGCTCAAAACCAGTGCAGAAGGTGTTATGTCGCCGCTCGCAGTGGCGTTTCGCCGCCACGGTTTGTGATTAGTATCGATCTGTAGATGAGCAACCAAGATGGTTTGTGACTTCTTGTTTATGGTTTATTTTGAGATGATTTTTGGGCGTAAAGGATGGCTGTCACGCCAGATTTGATTGGTTTTTGTTTGTGTTGGGGTGGTGTTGGTGGTGCCATGGTTTGGTGATATTGCCTTTGCTGTTGGTGGATATAGAGCTGGCAATGGTGGATTAGTCAGTGTCAGTGGATCTGAACGTAGCAGCGGTGACGGTTGTAGCGATGGTGGGTGGGTGGTATGGGGGTGTTTGTCACTAGTTATTTGGTTGTAGCGGTGTTGTGGATGGGTGAACGGCGGTAGTGGTGGTTTTGTTGGTGTTGCGGTACAGGCAGCGATTGGTGTGGTTGTTTTTTGTTGTTTTTTTGACGGTGGTTGTGGTGGTATTATGACGGGGGCGACGGTGGTGGTTTGGTTGGTGT